ACAAACACTAGAAGAGAAACACCCACAATCCAAAACAAACCAAACAACAAAAAGGGAAAAGGGGAAAAACAAGAAAAGGGGTGTCTCTTTTTTTTGTTTTTTTCTTTCAAGAATCGATTTTTACAAGGAAAAAAAAAAGATTGTAGATTTGATATTTGAGGAAAAAGGGAAAATCAAGGAGGGATTAATACTTTTCACTATAGAAAAAAAAAATTATATGAAATTATGTTTGCTCGTGTGGTGGCTTCCTTGATAATTGCTAAATCTAACGTTGTTTGCTAAAATATGTGACATGAATCATGTGAGGGTGTACCCCTACTTGAGGTCATTGCTCATTGGAGGACGGCGCCATTTCCTTAATAATAAGTCCCATTTGCATTTTTTTAGGTTTCTAAAATCTTTCATACGACCTAACCAAATTAAAGTTTCAAGAAAGAGGGTCGTTTGATAGTTGGTTAGTGTAAATTTTGTTACGATGAAATTTATATGTATAACTCTTTATTTGATATATGATTTTTTTTTATAATTAGTTATGTAGGTTTCTGAATTGCACATCAAACATCAAATCAGTTTCATGTATGATTGTTTGGTTAAGACTTTATGTTACAAAGAGAAAGTTTGAAAAATTGCACTTTGTTGTTGTTGTTGTTGAAACTCAACAATTGATCGTTTTACTGATGGAAGTGAATCTCTGATGGTGGAATTTCTTATAAGTACGATCGTCAAGTATTTTGGGGAGCGACTAACTATGGGGCATTGAATTTCAGGTAGATATGAAAATTATTATTGTTGTTAAATCTTTGATGCGTCATTGTTTGCCGATGAAAATGTCTTCCAGTGGAGATTCTGACAAGCACAAGTATTTTGAAGTGACGAACATTTGGCTACTTGAATTTGAGATGGATACATAAATTAGAGAGAAAAGAGGATGAAAAAGAATGACAGAGAATGAAGATATGCTAGGAGAGGAAAAACGAGTTTTGGTTGTGCCGGGGAAAGAGAGGTTAGTGATTATATTTGATAAAGTTTAAAATTGTTGACCAATTTTGGCAGTTAAGTGTATTTTTAAGTAATTACTTCAACTTTTATACTGAAAGGGCATCTCCAATTATTTTTCTTTTCGTAACACCCCTAAAGTTTTTAAAATCGAACCAGATCGAGAAAGTTCAAAGTTATCAAAAATTTGTGCTTTCACAATCACATCTACAAGTCGTAAAAATCTTCACCGACTATTGATCCGTAGCTCAGAACCTCAACAACTTAACTCTGTGCAACCCTGCTTCTACAGGCATTTTTACAAACTCGTAAAGTGATCTACAGACCATAAAAGGGTTCGTGAATTTGACTCAAAACCCAAGAAATCTTTCCATTTATTGCTACTTTTATTAACCGTAAAGTGATCTATGGACCCTAGAAGGCATCCGTAGATGGCGTCTGGAGTTTTTAATTTTAAAAAATATTTTTTTTTCTTCATCTTTTAATTCCTTCACTACGTCGTTTTTGACTACTTTAAGTGGGATTAAGGGATTCTTTGAAACTTACACCCTCACTTTCATGCTCAACCTCCTAAACCGAGTTTCTTCTCTCGCAAATCCCCTCTCAAGCAAGCTAAAGTTCCAAGTTTTAAGTTTTCATTCAAGGAATTCCGTGTAGCGTTCTTTATTCTAGGTATGTGGAATTTCATCAGTAGGTATCCCTTCACTCATTGAGTCTCAATGAAACCTCAGATATTCTCCAAACCTAGATCTTCTATGATTTTCAGGGTTCTTATTACAATTCAGTTATTCTTCGTGATTAATATTTAATTACATATTTTGCTTATGAATTTCATGTTTTAAATGATATTCCCTAAGTATACTAGTATTGATTCATCACGTTCAGTTATCATGGTATCATGCATTATCTTATATACAGAGTGTATTCAAAATATTGACCACATACTTTCGACATATGTTGTTTGACGATATAGATTTTGAGTATACAGAGTATATTCAAAACATTCGGACAACGATTATTACAATATCCGATCAGCACAATAGTATTGTATAATTATGTTTCTTCAGTGTATCAGAATGTATATATATTGCCCATTGTCATTGTCAATAATATATATGAGGCATCATAGAAGTTTCACACTTTTTTTTTGTTCGTGTTATTCGTCTTCTTAATAATATTTTAGTATATATTATTACACATTCTTTATACAAGTTTATACAGAACTATACATCAATATACATGTACAACACATGCGAAGTTTAAACTGAAATTGAATTTTATTTTTATTTTTTTCTCGAACAATTAATGTTTAAATAGGTACTTTTTATTGATTTTTTTTGTCAAATCATGAATTTATGATAAAAAAAAATTTAAATTTTGATTTCAGTATTTATAGTTTTGAGACGATGAAATCACGATTTTTAGTGCCATTATTATGTATGAATACACGTTTTTTGTAGTTGTAGAAATATATTAGAGCTTGACAAAATAGATTGAAATTTTCCTTGATTTTGAAGTTTAAATTTCTCAAAGCCAAGATCCACGTGATTTTGACGACAAATGGTTTCTTCTATAATAATTTTAAGTGTTGCTTTAATTAATTTTCATTGTAGTTCAATATATCACTTAACGATTGATTCGAATTTCGAACTTGACATCTAACCTAGGACTTGGCCTTGACTCTTAATAAAAAAATTTGGCTCCAAACCCCGATTGGAAACCTCGCCTCAACACCTAACTCGAGACTTGACCCCAATACCCGATGCGAGATCCGGTCTTGTATCCTAACCAAACTCGAAACCTTACCCAACACCTAACTCGAGACCCGACACCAATATCCGATCCAAAATTAATTTGATCTCAAATCCTAACCCGATATTCGACACCCAAACAAAAATTCGACACATATTTGACTTATGACGCGGGAGTTGGGTTTTGAATTGAGAATAAGATTTATTCCCAAATTAATATCAAGAATCAGTACTTGAGACTTGAGTTAAGGATGAAAGTTGAGGTAAGATTTTTTCCGGATGTAAAGTATCTTTGCTTAAATATGAGAAACATAAGCTGATTTGAAAAATATTTAAGTCAATCAAATATGAAAAAAAAAACACTTTTCATACCAAACACACTTTTTGGTCACTCTTTTCGAGTTGAACTATTATGTCATTCATTCGGTGTTCGATTAAATCCGAATTCACATCGAAAAGTTCTAGTTGAGGGCAAAACGTTTCCTAATAAATCTGACTCCATATCCAAGAGTCCTTGAACGTGAAACCTATTGATTAAAGATGAAAGAATACTTACCACTTCACCATAGTCCTTATTGATAGTCTTACCTTCATTTAAATTAATTATTTTGATTTATAAAATTTACAAATTGAATAAAATCACATAAAGTTAGATTTTTCGATTTCAACTTTAGTCGATTTATTTGATTTTTATTTTATTTTTGTTTTTTTAAATAACTATATGGTGTTTGAGAATATATTTTCACTTACACATGTGATAAGCTAAATCTTAAAAATATTAAATGGATAGAAATTTTTGAAAAGAGATAAAATTCATACGAGTACAAAAATATTTTTTTCTTGAAATCTCACCATTTAGTGTGTTAAAATTAATAAGATCAAAGATTAAAATCAAAGTGAATGCAAGATAAAATATTTACAAATAAATTGTTAATTTTGAATTTGAAAAACTATAACAATATGATTGTAACTTTTCATCTTAGGAGAATCAAAATCAAATGTTTGTAAAATTTTACAAGTCCAAAATTAAAATAATATATATAAACATAGAAAATTATAAACTAACTAAAAATATATTTAGAAATAATATTTTTATCCATAAATACAATAAAATTATATATTTATATTTTGTCGGTTTGGGTTGAGTTTGATTTGACTTTTTTCTTTAAATATTAAACCAAACTAATTAGAGTGGTCGGTTTTTTTTCTCCAACACCAAACCAAACCACAAATACATTGTTTTATCGATTTGACTTGTACATCCCTAAATTGTAAACAATACATGTTTAAATTGAGAAAATAATTCGTTTTCTTCTATTTTATTTATGCAACAATATTTAACTTGAAATAAAATTATATTTAATAAAAAACTTTTGACACATATCAAAAACTAGTGTTACAATTTGTGGGTGGTATTCAAATTTCAAAGTGTGGAGCTAATATGTACCTTATGTGATCAATTGAATACAAAATTTGAATTGGAAACTCTCTATTTTTATTTTAAGAAATTAATTGAATATGGTTAAGTTATTAATTTATAATCTCAACCCAATAAACTTTTATTTTAAATTAATCAATGCCCTTAAAATAATTTCTACTTTTATTATCAAGTCTCATATCAGTCTCCTATAATATTTTAAACTTAGAATCATTAAGGATATAGAATATCTATAATTATATGTCAGACACAATTCACTTCTCCCCTCCCTCTCTCAAATTCGTTCACCAAATATACACATACATATTTATTCTAGTTACATATATATAATTATTTGACAAATATACAAATACAATTCACCTCTCTCCTTCCTCTCCCAATCTCGCTCGCCTTTCTTCTTTCTCTAAAATATAGCTACAAATCGTAATTAACACACTATAACTATAGTGTCTAATTAATACCCCATTATTATTTGCAAGTCAAAACGACTATAAAGAATGAAAACGACTACAACATGAATGAAACTACCAAAAGTGGAAGAATGACTTTTCAATATCACTACAAGAAAAGGTGAAATTGGGAATGGTTGCTAATTCTATCATTGTTTACTCGTGGATTTGGTTGTGTGTTTACATCAAAGTTTTTTTTCCACATAAAGTAGTATAACCATATTTCCCATAAAATCAATTTTCCAGTTATATTATATTATATATTTTATACAACATCGGTTTGCTATAACAAGCAAAAGATATTGAAACAAGGTTTACCAATTCAATCAAAAAATGCTTTGGAAATGAATTAACAGAAAGCCAGAGAAGTCAAAATAATACAGATGAAGATGCAAGAATTTAATTGAATCTCCTGTATAGTAACAAGTATCTGGGAAGATATTAGATAAGCTAATCTCTTCTTATAAGCTAAAAGAAAATAGTTAAACAGTACACCACATGAAGAATAGATCTTTCCTAAATCACTAGGACAATTAACATTCACAAGCCCTTTCTCTTGTATAATCAAGAAAGTAATCTACATCTCTTGCTCTGATGAATAATGTAAAATAAACCAAAAAAATTTAAATATACCGAATCTCGTTTCCTTGTTCAAACTTTTTTAACTCAGGTAGAACAGCAGCCTCTCTTCACATTATCAGAGGTGTCATTAACATTGATGGTTGTACCCTGACCAGGAAGAGTAGTGGTTGTGGCTGCTGCTTGTGCAGCCAGCGCCTTCTTGCTTATGATATGGTATATCTCGGTTAGTATAGTCTGAAAAGCCTTATCTACGTTGACTGCTTCCAATGCCGATGTCTCAAGAAATGACAGTCCTTCCTTCTCAGCTAAATTTTGACCATCCTGCTCAGAGACTGCTCGAAGGTGGTTAAGGTCGGACTTGTTTCCAGCCATCATAATGACAATGTTAGAATCTGCATGGTCTCTCAATTCTCGGAGCCACCTTTGAACATTGTCGAATGTTTGTCCCTTTGTTATGTCATAAACAAGGAGTGCACCAACTGCTCCTCTGTAATAAGCACTGGTAATGGCTCGGTACCGTTCTTGGCCTGCAGTGTCCCATATTTGGGCCTTGACTGTCTTTCCCTCAACCTGTATCATGAAGTAGATAGCCCATGAGTGTTGATATCAGTACAATAAATTCCATTTCAGCCACGTTTACCCGCCAAAGAAAAAGCAAATTTATCAAATGGAATTGGATATTGTGGCTAGCAGAAAGCAAACACCTGGTTCACCCAAGCTTAAAGAGTTTTAAAAGTTGAGAATTTCAGAGCATTTGGTTTTCCTCAAAGGACATAAGCACCATTAAAATACTCAAATTCAAATTACAGATAGACAACCAGTCCTGCCATCCAATAATTTCATTTCAACAGAACAAAAAAAACGTAGAAGCATCAGATTGAGCCAACATATAACAATTAAAAGCGGAAATTCCAGGTCATAAGAAGACCAACAACTACATTCTTAGTATAGTCCCATAAGTGGGGTATGGGGAGGAAAGTATACACAGACCTTACCCCTACCTTGGCAGGTAGAGAGAAACTGTTTCGGATAAACCCTCGGCTCAAGGAAAGCAAAAACACAACATTTATGGAGATATAAGACGTAAAAACAGCAGGATAGTAAGAAAACCGAGGCATACAATAAGCGGATCAACATTTTTTCTTAAAAGCACATTAGTGGAAGTACAGATAGATCAAAACTCAAAAAAATTCATTGCTAACATTACACATGACAATCATTGAACTACTTCATTCCAAACAAGAATATATATACAGAATGTTGCAGCTGCATGACTGCATCTATGTGCTAGTATCTTGTTCATACTTGAAAATACAACTAAATATTGTAGGCTACTGAAAAGAGGAAGAAACAGATTTCATGAGTTCACAGTACCTGATGTTTATGCTATAATATATTGATTTGTCCTTAGAACTTAAAAATAAAAAATGGTCATTTAGCCAGAATTGTATCAGACCAGAGGAAGAAAAGGGCAATCATCAACTGATCCACCTAAATTTTAGTCATCCATTTAACCGGCAACTCGAATACCGGAGATGCTAAAAATACACCGGCTTTACCACTCCACCAATCTCTACACTATTCTCATCAATAATCACAAAAAATTCAACAAAATCACATAAAATAATCAACATTCCACTAGGCTATAGATGATAGTATGATTCCCTCCATCTCCATTTTTTTTACACTTTTGTAGAGTCAATTTGACTATATATGGAGGAAAAACAAGCGAAATTTATTCTTTTAAATAAAAAATCAGATTTATCCTAAAATAGAAACTACATGAAACAATTCCCCTCATATAAAAAATGATACAGATTACATTCCTAAAATATTGTTAATAATCTTTACTTTAGTTTAAATCTCGAGATATGAAAAGTGTCAAGCAGTTCACAACAGGAGTATCAATTTTCATGGAATGTTAATAGCAATCTGAACTTTCAACTTGTTACTGACTGTTCGATTCCCTACCCCCAATTTTCAGGAGTAAAAATTTTCGGTATGAACTTATACAACACCACTACTACATTAAGAGCTCAAACAATACCAAATTTCAAATTAAACTTAGAACAAAGTGATATCAGTACTAACCTGAAGAGTTCTAGTGGCGAACTCAACTCCAATAGTAGATTTTGACTCCAAACAGAACTCATTTCGCGTAAACCTAGACAGAATGTTCGATTTTCCAACTCCAGAATCACCAATCAACACGATCTTAAACAAGTAATCGTACTCATGATCCACTCTATTCCCCATAACTTCAATTCTCTGTATTAAAACCTACAAAAAATCAAAAAACAGATAAACATCATCTAGATCTGCAACACTCCAATCAAATCAAACACAAACAAACCCTAGAAATGGAAAATACAAATAAAAAATACTCTCCAAGAGCGGATGTACGGGTTCATTTGAATACACTGATTTAAACATAAATTCACAATAAATAGCAGTTACAAACTCTTTAACTTCAAAAATTATAACGAGTTCAATGCTAAAAACTTTAAAAATTGAACTTATAAAGTTAAAATCCTGGATCCGCCACGGTATATATATACAAAAACAATTCATACGCATACATACAAAAATAGATTGATGCTCAAATTAGTACAAAATGGGTTACCTGGGAGGTGAGAGAAAGCTTTAGAAAGAGAAACAATGGAGTTTCGAAATGTTGGAGAAGAGTTTTTTCTATATAAGATTTTTGGTGTGAAAGTGCGGCAAATGGTAAGCTACGTGGAGTATCTCCATTTTAAAAATACACCAATTCCTACCTATTTTTTCACCTACTCTACTCGTCTCCTAGATTATATTTTTTTTAATCGTATACTAGTTAATTAATTAATATTATTTTTAATTTATTTTAAATATATTATGTGACTTACTTTTAATTATAATTATGTGGTTAAATTTTTAAATTGAACAACTTTTATATATATCAGATATAAAAATTTATATTGATAAGTTTGTATAATTGCGTTTTACGACAAATTTAATGTTTGTTATGAAGCTTTTAATTTGTATAATTCGCTATAAACATTGAATTTTATATAAATTGTTTAGTTTTGTATAGATTCATTTATATCTTGTAATTTGTATTTATATAATTATAAGTGTATAGGACGAAAATATATGTATTTATATTTGTATATACATTTTTCTTTCGCTTTATACAAACACATATTATATCAAAATATAAAAAATAGCTAATTGTACACTGAAAATGGCTAATTGTATGGCGAATCATATGGCAAAAAAAAGGAAACGTTTGCTACGAATTTACAATTAAAATAAACTATGACTGTAACAATTAATTTATATTAATAGTTTGATATTTTATACAATTTTTCCTTTTAAATTTTATATAATTTATACATTTGAACAATTCAAAATTTGTATAACTTTGGTAAATAACAAAATTATACAAATGCAAGTGTAAATTATACAAATTCACGAATTATACAAACGAGACATCTAAAATTATAACTACTATCCGTAAATATACAAACTATAAATATATAGCATAATTTAAATTTATTACACTGATTATTTGCGAAAGTTTCACCCAAAAATAAGCTCCTATCTTATCGTAATTTACGAAATTGAAACTTTGAAAATTTAATCAAGAGCATTTAGTTATATATATTTTTATTGTGAAGTTTGTAAAAAGTACTCTATTTTTTATTTTTTATGATATTTTAAAATTAAAATTGTGTTTAATCATGAATTATTTTTCGAATTCCAAAGCTAAATTTTCAAGAATTTATGTTCAAACGTGTTTGAGAAGTTCAACTCTGATAAAAAGGAAAAAACATTTATGGTGAAATTTTGTGCCTAAAATTCCAAAAACAGCCAATGTTTGAAATATATTTGCGGAAATATTTTTAAAATTTTATGGCCTAAACACATATTTAAAGATAAAAATTTAAGATGATATTATGTAAACATATCATTTAATTCATCATGCCCTCTCTATCTTTACGTATAGGTTATACATAATTAAATATTAAAAATTATATGAAATTAAAAATAAAAATTCCTATACTTAATAATCTGTTTATATTATGCTTACATAGAAAAAACATATATATTTATAAAATAAACAAATAAAAATGAACAGAACCGATGGAAAAAGTTATTTCTATGAGTTGACAAAATAGTGGTAAGAGGAGAATAAGAAAGTGTGTGGAAGGTCGGTTGGCACTGACATCGTCAGGCTGGCAAAGAGCTGACAACATGTAGAAAGGGGAATGTTTAGTGCCTGTCATGTATTTTTGTGAGTAAGAACATGGGTTTCTTATATGTGCTTAAAATGCCAATTTATTTAATCAATGTCTTCATCAATACAAGCATATGTGATTGTATAAGTTGTGGTCATTCTAGATGACAAAATGTCAATATTGTTTAAATCAGAGATTTCTGATTAAAGAAGGTACGAAAGTCGTTTTTGTTAGGGAACGTTTTATTCTTAATATGAAATTTTTCAGTACAAATTTAAATTTAGTTGAACTTTAATGTGGATATCGAATATTGAATATAAAATTAATAAAAAAGCGAAGAAGCAATTGTTTGGGTGGGGCGAGCGGATCTCGGGTAGGTGTGGGGTAAGTTATGCGGGGTGGAGCGGATTTAAGGTTCTGCGGGCGGATGTGATGCGAAGCAGGTTGAGGTGAGCTTTTTTAACACTAATGCGGGTGGGTATATGTGATTTAATGTGGATTTAAATTTATTTTTAATTTTAACTTTTTTAAATGTTATAAAAATAATAAAACATAGTTTATTAAGATAATTTCTCTAAAGTTACTAAAATATTCAAGATAATAAATAAAAATAATTTAATTTCTTATATGTTTTTAAATTTACAAATAAAATTTTAAGTCACAATACAACTTAATAAAATAATAAATTTTCTTTTATGTATTTTATTTTCGGGTTTGGGGGGTGGGGAGTTGAATTAAAATTTTTATGAATACACTCCACATTATCCCATTGTCATCCCTAGTTTGGGTACCAATAGTTTGTAAAATATGATTGTATGAAACGAAGTAAAAGATTATTTTGGTTCAAGTAAAAGAATAGTCATGAAAAATCATCTAAAACAAGTAAAGGAGAGTGTGTGTATGATTCTATTAGAAATCTCACTATCGAAAAATAAAAATTTAGAACATTCGTTGTAAATTTGTAGCTAGATTACTTAGTTGATGAAAGTCATCCATTTTGATTTTTATTTTATACTGATAATATTTTATCAATGATCGTACAATGTAGAATCTTGTTCGACTATTTCACGTGTCTATTTTTTATATATTAAATCTTCTATTTAAATTTTGGACTCCGCCATCAATACGGTTAGAGTTAGCATGTGGACAATTCCATGGAAAATTCTTAATTATGTAAATAACATTCATAGCATTGTTGCAGAACATGGTTTTAGTATCAATCATTGCTTTAGAGAGTTCAATCAATTTGCAGACAAGCTGGCTAATTTAAGCCACACTTTTGATAATTCAAATTTTCAACTCTTTTGCTAGCCTCTCAAGGAACATTGAGCAGCTTTATTAATAGGAGAGAATATATAATTAGATATACTCTATTGGTAATACATATTATAATTATTTATAATTTTTAAAATATTATATATTTTATCATTAATTAAAATTGAGAAAGATACACCTAGTTATAAATATATATATAT